CCCCAAAACCCCAAAACCCCAAAACCCCATGGCTATTAAATAGCGAAAATTGAGGAAAAATTAATATTTAATAACTTAAGTTTATCTATAAGATGGAGCAAATAATGTCTCTATAAATTCAAGATACCCTTTCAAAATATTCGTAGACTAAAAAAGTGGGAAAAGGATTCTAAGGTAATGTCTACGAAGTTTGGGATATTCTAGATCCCAATAAAAAACCACTAGCAGAAAAGATACAAAGCCTAGATGAAATTTATGGAAAAATCAAGAGCTCTATCATAAATCAGCATTAATGTACTTGATGTTAATAAAGAGATCGGTGTGAATATTGCAAATAATGCAAAACTAACAAACATAATTCTCAGTTAGAGCCGTTGAATAGCGAACATTTAAAGGAATAAGTGAACAAAGAAAAACAAAAAATAACTAAGGAAATACTTCGGATGCTTAGAGAAATTGCATCTATTCAGCTTAAGCATCTGAATATAGTCGAAATACATGACTCTTTTCTCTCTAATGAAAGCGAATTCATCACCATAAGTGAATTAGCTGAGGAAGATCTTTACCATTTTGTTTAAAATCGATTCAATGAAAGGAATTCGCTCACATGCTAGCAAGTTTCAATGATTCTTCTTTAAATTCTTAATGCCCTAGAGTACATTCATAATAAAAACTTCATTCACAGAGATATCTCTCCTTAAAATATCCTTGTTTTCGAAGATTAATCTATCAAGATATGTGATTTTGGGTTCGTATCTTATGGCGAATAGACACAAAATCTTGTAGGAAAATTAGATTATATAGCTCCAGAAGTTTCTTCTTATGAAGATTAAAGCTATGGCAACTCAATTGATATATGGTCCCTAGGAATAGTGCTTTATTACCTTTGTACTGGATCAACATACAACAAAGGAATATGAGTTAATAATCTTGCTCTTCAATTAAAGCATATTGACTTGCCTGAAGAATATCAATAATTCCAGGTGATCTTCAATTAGATGCTAGATTTGAATCCTCAAAGTTGACCAACAGCCACTTAAGCTAAAGATGACATCATGAAACTTATAGATAAGCGTGACGTTGTCTTTTAAAAGTACTAATAAGATCTATAGACTTACTTATTAAAAAATCAAGAAATAAAAATTAAAAATTAAGAGGATGAATTAGAAAAATAACTTTAAAAAATTTTCAGCGAAGACGTTATTTAATGCAATAAGGCTTCATAGATATCATTGTAAAACATCTCCTAATCGTTAGAGAAATAAGCATTTATAGTAAGATTATATTAACAAGGAATTGATACCAAAAAGTTTTCATAGAAAGAGGAAGAAAAGGAATTCAAAAGCTCCATCATCCAGTAAAGCTCAAATATTAACATAAATATTAGACCAAGAGTTTAATAAAATATAATGCCAAGTAGTGTTATTTAGACGTAAATAATAAAATAGAAAACAAAGAAAACAGTTTTTTCCAACAAAAACATGATAACTAATGCTGCTCTTGGATTTTCATTGTTACTTGTATTCTTATCCGCCTGTGTTAATCCTTACTTTAGTACCAGATGCCCTGTGATAAAAAATGATTAAGGATCAGATAAAGATATAGATACTTTTAAATTGACAATTAAATCACCAAATGTTACTGTTAATGATATTTTAGACAAAATTGGAGAGTTTAATTACGGATCTATTGATAAAATTCATCCTAATGCAAATAGAATCTTCTAAAATTTGATTCAAAATGAGGATTTAAGTATCTATCAAGGTGATTATGATAATAAAACAAACAAAAGAGATGGAAGAGGATGATATATTTACAGTAATGGGGATATTTATGATGGATTATGGAAGAATAATTTAAGATATGGATACGGGAGACTTGTATAAAGTGATCAAAACTACTATATTGGTGAGTGGAAAGATGACAAATTTCATGGATATGGAAAATTTTATCACAATA